GGGTAATTAAGGCCTGTCCCCTGGGCGTGGGGCCCTGCGGGGGTCCCTCCGCTCGCCCAGCGGCCTCCGCAGGGTTCGCGGCGGCCCCGGAGCCGGGCGCTCTGCGAGCGGCGCCTCCCGCTCTGCGCGCCGTGCGCAGCACCGCGCAGGGCCCCGAGTCGGGAAGGGGCGTCTGCACCCCTTTCCTTTCGGGAAATGCGCAAAGGTGCCTTGTTGCCTTCTCGTTAGAGAGAGTAAAAGAAAGCATCAAGCCTGAAAAGAGTGTCTTGAGGTCTTTTAGGAGATAGAATCTTCTTAAGACTCTGTAAAGCCTTCATAACAATAGTGTCTCCTGCTGGCAAAGAAACACAAAATGGTGTTTCGATTATGGGTGGAAGTTCTTGAAAGACATTTTACTTCGTAGAAGAGGTAAGAACTATTGCTAGGGGTAATGGATGACGTTTTTTATTACATCTGTTGGATCAGAAGAGGATTTGCTGGCTCCATGGGAATGAGCTAGCGGTGGTGTGGACATCTGGTTTTAGGACTGAATCCGTTTAGTAGACGAGGAAGCAAGTTACTCGCGTTGCAAGGTAATGGAGCCTGGCTGGAAGAGTCCAGTCCTCATCAGTATTTTGGTAAATCGTTTCCTGTTTCTAGGTTTGGAAGGCAGGTTTGTACTTCAGCTAATGAAGCTCCATCACGTGGCTCATCACTAAGTGCTAGACCCTTTTCTTGTCAGTGTAGCACAAGCATAATGTGTACATGGTAGTGAGATTCTTGGTAGGCGTGGGTGATATTTATATAATTTCTTCTGTTTGAAGTTCTTCCGTGTAAGTTTAATTTGTCTTTCAGGACAAGTTTTTGAGCAGGAGGTTGGTCAGAATGAGTCTTCGATGTCTCTTCCAATGTAAATTCTCTAATTCAGTTGCACATAGCAAAGATCTAGTTAGTTAACAGTATCTAATACCAGTTGCTACTACTGCAGTTCCGACTTGTAATTTATTTATATTAGTGATATAATCGTAACCTCAGGCCTTAGAAGCTGGGAATATCTTTCTCAGACTTCTATTGAGCTGTAGCTTTGGGTTGCTTTTGAATGCTTGTTTCAGTAAAAAGAAAAGGATGTGACTCAAATTTCCAGTACAGAAATTCACTGAAATTACCTCTGTCTCAAAGAAATAATTCAAAATTTAGATGAAATTGCATATCTCGGAACTTAATAAATGGATTTTTTTTTTGCTTATACAGATATTTTCAGTTAACTTGGAAACATCTCTATGATTAAGACAGTGACACATTTTCAGATGAGTCCAGGTTTTGTTCTTGTCTTCTAAACATAAACAGAGATAACTTCGTTATTTGTAGTTTTTCTGATTTCAGTGAATTACTTGTTCTGCTAGATGGTTTTAATTTGGCATAAAAGGGTGAAGAGTGAGGTTCAAAGGTTTTTTGCAGATAAACCTTTCCAGGAAGATATTGAGCTAAGCTGTTGTAAAGCATCAGTTTATGTTTTCTCATGTTTATTTTCTTTTTCTTGTCCTTGAATGTAATTTTAAACCAGTGTAGCTGTTGCAGTGAACAAGCCCTTCTCAGTAACACATGAATGAGATATTACCTGTTCAAATTTCCAGAATGAAGTTGTAACTAAAATGCCAGCAATTGCAGCTGTCTCATAATGGCTAGTTTTTTCAGTTTTGTGCTGCTGTGTTTTGACACAAGGCTTAGGAGACTTCTGAACACCTGAAATTATTTGGTGGTCAAAAGGGTCAGTATCTCTTACTGAATTCTCTCTCTAGAGTCACCACGACCGCGGTTTTATATAGCAATTGTATTTCTGTCAGTTTTGACAGCAATCAAATCTAGCAAAATCTAGGAAGAGTCACCATTTTTATGAAACTTTTATCCTGGAGGGGTGGAAAATTATTTTTAGCTTGAATCAGTCACATGATCATGTTAACAGTACTTACGGAAAATATGCTGTTGAAAAAAGGTAGCTTAGTATCTTCATGTGGCTGCTAGAACTCTGGTATAGCCCAGCTGAGACTTTTACAGTTCTCCTGAAAGCAATAGATTTTGAGGATCCTAATTCCCACACCACATCTTGTTTTTTCTGTAACTGAAGCTTACCATTGCATTCAGATTAATTCAATTTAAATTGGATTTGTGAAACAAACCTGGGAGATGGATGGTTGTTAAATTTCATAGATCCATGTGTCAAGGTAGTGATCACCTGCTCTGGAGATGAGTGGCTGATGATGAAACGGAAAGGAGGAGGGAAGAGTCCTCTTAAACGGGAATGTATTAGCATAGAGTGGTAATGTAGAACTAGAGGTTAAAAAAAAAATTGCTTAAAAAGTTCTAGAAAACTTGTTTTCTGGTAAGGAACTGCAAAGTCTGGTCACTTTCTTTGTATAAAACAAAGTTAATAATTGTAATTGGAACAGCTTAGAGTGAATTATTTACCTGTGTGTATATTGCTTCTAAATATTTAAAACTTTTGCTTTTTAGAACGAATATGCATGAACGAGTGAACAGAACAGAGAGGCAGTTTAAGTCTCTCCCAGCTAACCAACAGAGTCTGCTTCCTCAATTTCTTCCTCACCTTGACAAGATTCGGAAGTGCATTGATCATAATCAAGAAATACTACAAACCATTGTGAATGACTGTGTTCATATGTTTGAAAATAAGGAATATGGAGAAGATGTATGTTAAAAATGGACTTTTTTCTTGCTCCAAAATTAAATTCTGTATGCTTTGGGATTTTCTACATTTGTTTTTAATACCTCAAACCTCCAACTTCCTTTTCTTTTGCCTTCCTTGTTTTATTGTTTCCTGTTTGCTCACACTTTTCTCGCTCTTGTCTTTCACATTTTGCAGAGCTGATGCTTAATGAAGCTGTTTGTTGTTAGTTCTGTTAGCTACACTTACGAAAACTAACTGAATCTGGCGAATGATTGTGAAAAACTAACTGTGAATCTGGCAAATCATTGTTTTCACTCCAGAGTTTAGCTTTACCCTGGTTACTTTTTAAAATTATTTTTTTCTGTTAACTATATAGAATATAAATAATATTGTGTGTCTTACTGTAGGTTCTTATATGTTACAACATTGTCAATTGGTTGCAATTCTAGATTGTAAGTATTTTTAATGTTGTTATTTATAAACACTTTTTTACTGCCTGACCTACTTTCTGTCAAAAAAATGACACCAAGACTTAAAGGACTGAGAGAGATGGAAACTGAAGTCCTCCTTGGATACAGGCAAGATACAGTAATGGGCAGCTGTAGTGTAACTTCTCAGTTTTGCCTTAATCAGTATCTAAAGGGATCCATTTTTCAGGGTAAGCAGTTCAGCCTTTGCACTGGGTAAGCCCTGATCCTTTCATGAATAAGGACTTCCAGTTGTGCTTTGCTGTGTATCGTTTTTTTGATGTGGAAAGTGAACTTTTGAATGCCCAAGAGAGGCCAGCAAACTCAGTTTGTTTAGGATATTAAGGTGGATTTAAGCCTGGGTCCCAGGAGTGAAAGGGAAGTGCTTTGTCAGCTGATACTCCCACCAGTTCTTGTAGCATGGCTTTTTTTTTCTCTTCATGATTTGCTACTCCTCCCTCCCCCACAAGACTCCAGATACTTGGTATGTTTTCCATTAACTTCTTTTTTTTCTCTCTGCACTTTATTCAGGGAAGCGGGAAGATTACACCAGCTTCAACATTTGACATGGATAAATTAAAGTCCACATTGAAACAATTTGTGAGAGACTGGAGTGAAGAGGGAAAGTCTGAGAGGGATTCCTGCTACCAGCCAATTATTAGTGAAATTTTAAAGAACTTTCCAAAAGAAAGATGGTATAGTGTCTTAAAACTTATATTTATATGGACTTACAGTGTTGCACAAATCTAAAACAGAGTTTATGGAGTAATGAAAAGCTTTGTTTCAAAAGTAGAGAATTTTTTATGAACTCGAATTTATTTTTCAATCAAGAAAGTTTTTATTTCTAATACAAGATGTTGGAAAAGAGTATATTCATAAGCTTCACAAAGTAATACCAGGTAAACCAGTAATATTTTTTTTTGTTGTTCTGCCACTGGGTGTTACAATATATGTAAATCTTTCAAGTAAGAGACTTCAGAAACTCAGTTGTGCTGAGTGAGGTAAGGTTTGCAGGTAAGCAGATTCTCAGAGTGTGTCTGCTGCAGGTGAGAGGAAGGACTCCATGACAGCAGGAAGTAAGGCTTTTGTTCTTCATTGTGGAAGGAAGGAGGCAGACTTAACCTCTAGTGCAGTTGAGCTTAATTGCAGTATGAATTTATTCTGAAATAATGAAGTATAACCTTGGTTTCAGACAGCTGTTCTAAGACAATTCCTAAAAAAGCTTAGTTGCACATGTGAGGGTCATTTTGTAAATATTGGCTTATTTACAGTGCCAAACTAGTCATTGATGCAGGTGTAGTGGAAGAATGTGGAGTGTAGATGGTTTATATTTTGTCTTGAACTGACTTACCTAAAGATACATACACCTTTAAAAATGTTTTATCTGCAAGTGAACTTTCTGCAATTTTTCTAGTGCTAATAGTGCCCTATGTAAGATAAAAAATTGATTAAATACTGCATGTATGCCTCTGATAGTAGATCTATGGGAGAACTCACAGTTAGTTTTGCAATTGCTCCAAAGCAGCAATTCAACTTTTTCTCTTGTATGCTAACTGCTAATGGGTTTTGGTTATGGAAGAGGTAGTTTATGTCAGATCTAAAGAGATTCATGACTGAGGCTTGAAAAATCTTGACTTTTACATTTGTCATCCGTGAACTCTTTCAAAACCTTCAGTTGATACTATGAGGCAACCTGTGGTAACAGATGGGGTAAATCTGAAGTTGAGAGCTTTGTGCTTCTTTACAGGGAATTTTTGTGGTTGTTGTCAGACAAAACTATTGTGGCAGAACATTGCTATTGTGGTGGCTCTGAAGTACAATTAGTTTTATTTTGTCTCTGCTGTAATCTCAGTAGATTGCTGTACAGATCAAACATCTCTGCCACAAGTTGGAGTTGGTCAAACAGCATTTTTTAATTTCTAGAATGTGTATAACTTATCATTGTGGTGCTGCTGTAGCATTTAAGTAGAACCTTTTCTCTGCTTACATACTGCTGCTGTGTGAGCTCACTCATTTTTCCCAGAGACCAAAGGCTGTACTGCTTAGGTGTACTTATCTTTTTAGGTAAGAAGCAGAGTCACGTACTATCGAGCTTAATTGGTAGTGCCACTTCACCCTTGTGCGAGAAGTAACTTCCCTAGCTGGGTTTGCTAGCTGGTCAGTCTGGGTATTTGATAGAAATTTTATACAAACTCTTCACTCTCCAATGACAGGACCAGGGAATGGCATGCAGCTGAGTCAGGGGAGGTTTAGGTTAGGTACCAGGAAAAAATTCTTCACCAACAGGATGGCTGAGCACTGGAAAAGGCTCTTCAGGGAGATGATCACAGCACCAAGCCTGTCTGATTTCTGGACAATATTTTTAGGCACGTGGTGTGACTCTTGGAGCGTCCTACATAGGGCCAGGAGCTGGACTCTTACCCTTGTTCTAGCTCAGCATATTCTTCAGTGATTTTGGAGAGGAGAAGTTGTTTCAGTTTGAAGGGATTTACAGGGCCTGAACTGACCACGGTGAGTTACTCTGTCATTTATAGCGGGCGAGGACTGACTACGGCCTGTAGGTGAACCTCAGCTTTGCATTGCTGTAGCGTTTGAAAATGAAATGAAAGTGCTGGAGAAAAACTGCTCTGGGTGATGAGAACAACTTTTTCTAAATGTATTTTTGTGTTGAAAGTGATACATATTTTAAATTTGAAACTGTTAGTGCCAGATGCCTTTTACTTTGTAAAAAAATTGCAGTGCTCATCAAATTTGTAAAACTCAGTAGAACTACATTCAGTTTCTTGTTAACATCGTTTGTTGACATTACTAAATCCATGCATTGGAATCATGTGAAAATGGAGTTTAAATTTTTGAAACTACTCAAGTATGTTTCAGTCTGTGCATGTGCACCTTACAGCATTGCAGTTTGCCAGATTGTCACCTGTGGGTTCAGTTGGTATGTAAACAGCAGGAAAAGCAGTGCTGTGTTCTATATGCTTGCCCTTTGGAAACTAGTACAAGCAGTGGTTGAAAGCAGCTGTAAATCAGAATTGTTATTTAATAGATGCTACATACCATGCGTTAGCATGTGTTTCAGTCTAGTCTTCTGACTAGGCAGTCATCTAAAAATAAATTAAGTGGCAAAAAGCTGTTCCTGCCTCTTTCTGCTTAGCACCTTAACACAGAATCTGTTAGTAGAGTCAACAAAGCAGTTTTAAGTAAATCCCCTGAGATTGGGTTTTCCTGAGGAACTGATGGATTCCTTGCATTATTAATATTGCAATTTGTGTTTCAGCTTGCAAGAGCTCTAATATTTAAATGTCTTGGATTTCTTGGATTAGAACGAACCTACTTGCTGTAGGAGAAAACAGTAAAATGTAGATACATTTTTATTTCTTTATCAGTGTATTTATTGAAGCCTTTTTATGGGAAGGTATCAAATTGAAAATCTAAATAAGCATACTCAATTTTTTTTTATTCCCCTCTTTTTCAGTTGTTTTGGTTTCTTTTCACTTCTAATGTTGCTCGTCCTGCTTAGGTGAAATAATGTAAAGATCATCAGCTTCTTGTCCAGAAGAAATCTATTAAATAATTAACTTTCTTGTTAATTATCATTCCATGGCTGAAACCAATATACTTAGGTATTTTTCCAGTTTTCTCATAAGCTAGCCCTCTGAAATGAACTATAGCTTGAAATTCATCTGTGTCGTGCTGTCCAGCAATCAAATGTATTTTCCCAGGTGCTGACAGAACAGCCCAAAAGAAATCACCAGAGCTTAGTTTCCTTTTAATATGAAAAACAGCTTTATTTTTTCTATATGAAAACTATACTATTTGACTACACTGTTTGACTATACTATTTGAGCATGCTCAGTCACATTTATAGTGGAGTTGAAATTTCTGCTTTATTTGAACTTTATTACACTTTATATGAAATACATCTGTCCTTGCAGGTCTTTGTTCTTAGCATAAACTTTGCTTTAAACTCTGGATTTAAGAGGAAATACATTGTCAGTGTTATTTCCTCACTGAGTGCTTTGCAGGTACTTAAATGAAAGCATATAAAACTCACCTGCCAAGTTCAGAGAAGAATTGCTTTTCAAATGAATGTGCTTTTTAGCATTTGTCTTTAAAAACAAATTACTAATAATATGATTGAAGTAAAATAACAAAATGTGGGGTACTAAGAATTTGATCTGTTTACAATCTAAATTTACAGACCTTGTGAACTAGGAAAGGAGTCCCGCACTGTGTTCCTATGGTGATATTTCCACTGATCAGAAATCCATCTCAGTGTGAGATGCGTGTTTGTTACTTCAACATAAATCAAACTGTAGTGTTTAGTTTATGAAAATGAGGTTTGTGTTTGATTAGACACAAACGCTCATTTTTCTTTTGCTGAACTTACTCCTTCAACACCATTACTTCTTATTACAACACAGTAGACATGAAGTAAGCCTCCATTTTTATCGTGTTTAATTTCCCCCTTATAAAAAAACTTTAAAAAAAGTTCAAATCTTCATTAATATCAACAGTCTTCTAAAAGCTGAAAATATATCACACTGAAACATGCAGTGTAAAAAGGGCATGACAGATTTGTTTCTGATATTTCTCAATTTTAAGAGACTTTCAGTCTCAGTTTCAGTAGTTGAGCTGAATTGTACCATGCAGCCCTCTTCTCTGCTGCTTGGCCAGCGCCTTTCCCCACACCTGTCAGATTAATAGGCTGATGCTACTTCCCTCTTGGCCCACAGGTATTCAGTGGGTACTTGTTGGATACTCATTTAGGTTCCTGACCACTGCTAGATGTGTGTCATAGAAATCCTGTCATTGCTGGCTGGTTCAAGGCGAGTTTTCCTTGTGGATCACTTTGGTTTATGATGTTACTACAGTTGTTGATTATATTTTTTTTTTAGTTAGCTTTGTAATTGCTGTAATCACATAACCACCAGAGAAAAGCTGTTTTTCCAGCCTATTAGAGGACCACAGCCATTAAAAAAGCAGTTTCTTTGCAATTAAAGTTTTTTAGCTATTATGAGGACTCAAAATTAAATGTAGCTCATTAACAGTTTGTCACAAGCAGTTCCTTTCTAAATCTTGAAAAAGTGTGTTAGACTTTTTTTTTCTCATTAGGGGATACTCAACAGTCAGTACTTGTTATGTGGTATATTTGCCATATAAATAATTTCTTGGACTATAAGTTCAAAAATTTGCTTTTGGGAGGTTAGTGTTAGTGGACTGAGATTTGATTCTGTTGTACTTTATTAGCTGTGCTTGGTTGCTGAAATGAATTTGGTGGCCAGGAGCATTCTCCAGCAACTGATAATGGAGAGTAGAAATTAAATTGCTAACAAATTTTCAAACTTTAATCCCTTAATAAAGGTACAAACAAAGGTGTAGTTAAGTCTGCACAGAAAAGGAGAATAGAAAACCATTTTCTGAGAGAGAATTGGTAAAATCAGTTTAGAAATACAAAAAGTATATTGTGAATGAAAATATGTAAGACAACAACAGGCAACTTAAAATCAACTCATTTGACTGTTAGAGGTTTTATCTTGTTTCAGGGTGCATAAAGGTGGAGATTTCAAAATGTGAACAATACTTCCATATCTATTAGCTACCAGGATGCTTTAAGAAAAAGATTTTTCTTCTAATCAATGTGTTATAATCCTGAAAGTGGTTTATGGTTTATCATTCCATTTGTTATAAAAGTGTCCTCTGGGAGGTGCTAAAATCTGTGTAGAGCTAGTCAAAGTATTTCATAAATAAAGTGAAATTGTAAGGACATGGAGAAATAGATTAGGTTATAAAATCTGTTTGGAATGACAGTGTACCATTATGAATAGGAAAATCTGTAAGAGAGAAGCTTTTCTTGCTTCTACCAGAAGGCACATTTTCTTATTTCTCCTGGTGCCTATTTTCAAAAATTCCGTATTGAGCATGTAGTTTTCTCCTGAAGTATTTTTTTTTCAGTAGGACTTTGTGCCAGCTTTCTTCTGGTTTCCCCTGTAGAAGACAGATAATGAGAACTGTTGCTTCATAGGATTGCTCTTAAGTAATAACAAAGCCTTGATTACCAGCTTCTCGTAGTCAGGAAAAGAGCCTGGACATATAATGGAATGGAAGTGAACGGAATAATACTCTGTTTCAGAGATTTCACTAACTAGATGATTAAATCAAAATTCAAAAGGCACTGTTAAAACTGCTTTGTTAGATTATGTGACCTTTAGGTTCCTTTTGGTTTTGGGCAATAGCATTCAGAAATGTACAGTTTTTAGGATTTATGTAACTCCTTTAAACATCTTCATGCTTGTGCAGCCCCTTTACTCTTTTGAACCCTTTTTGGCATTCTGAGTTTTTAGGTAGTCAAAGGCTTTGTGTTTTGGTGCCTTTTATCCTTTGGTACTGCTGATTGTGGCTTCTTTCATGTACTTGCATATAAAGTGGTAGATGTATTTTTTGTCTCTGAAGGTGATACGCAAAACGATGTGGGGAGGTGTATGAATATTCATACTTTGGTGTATGAAATCGTGAGCTCTTGAAGTCTTGTTTATGACTGGAAACTGAAAAATTATTTCTTTTTAGATTAAGTATCTTCAGTTTGGCATGGGCATGGTTTCTCTTTCATGAGTTTCATGCAGGTTTGATTGCATTGTGGTGGAAGTGCGATGGTTAGGATATGCATTGCCTTTTCTGCCTCAAAGAGGAGCAAATTCTGAGAATCTTCTGTTTGTTAGTTGCTGTACTTGGGCAAGATTTTCTCAGTATTTCAATGAACACTGCTGGATGTTTTTTGATTGTCTTCAACTTGATGCCTTCTTAAGGGGAAATGGTTAGAGAGCTGCAGTGATTTAGGAGATATGTCACTTAGAGTGCTTTGGGGAAACCAGTGAGCAGCATATGACGAACCCACCACTGCTGAAACAGTCACTACTTTAAGGTTTTTACATTGTGAATTGTTCATCAGATTGTGGAGATTTTATGTTTTCATTTCTCATGTCAAAATACTTGTGGTTTTTTCCCTTGCAAGATAACAAAAAATATGTCTAGAATGCTTTCTGATTATCAGTGGGGGTTAAAAACACACTGTGCTATGTGATAATCTTCAATTCACTTCAGAAATTTTTGGCTGGATAACTGTAAAACTTTTAAGGAAAACAAATTGTGTGTAGCAGTTATGCTCTGTATTCTGAATGAGGGTTGTATATGTTCTTTTGAGTAATTTCTGTGAATTATTTTGACTGTACAATTAACAAATCTGATCAGAACAGGCTCAGTTTCCATTTAAAAGTGAAGTCATAAAGGAAACATAATACCGTATCTTAAGTATATAATGGGAAAAATGTTTGGCTGGACCTCTAAGTTGTGTTAAGGGGTATCAGATAAAGACTTAACTGTTATTTTTGTTCTGTTGCAGGGATTTCTCCAAAGTTAATATCCTGGTACCTGGTGCTGGGCTAGGTAGATTGGCGTGGGAAATAGCTATGCTCGGTTATGCTTGCCAAGGAAATGAATGGAGCCTCTTTATGCTCTTTTCTTCTAACTTTGTACTCAACAGGTATATAGCTTATGTTTTACTTGCTGAATAAAACCTAGTGAGGCAAAATTATAAATGAGAGAAGTCTGAATATATACATCTCACAAGAATAGATTTATGAGTTGTACTACAAGGCATACATACTTTCTAGAATGCTTTAAGGCAAAAAAAGTCTTACAGATAAATGGGGAAGGAAGTATTGTGTCTTAGTCATTAATGTTACAGGAAACACGGCTTTTGAGTTGTGAAATTTAGAATCTCTAAATTGTACAACAGATTTTCTGCAAAATTTTTATTAGGTTTTATGTTTCGTTTCACATCTGTTTCTGTAAAATGGACACCAATCTTACTATTACTGAATATGGACTAGTAAATACATCCATGGTATTTAGTAGTGGTGATTATTAACAGAGGACCTGTTAAAAAAAAAAAAAGTATAACATTACATACTAAAATTTTATGCACTGTTTTTGACAAGAAAAACAATTATTAAAGCATGCTGAGCAAGAGGCTAAGAGTTTATAATTACACTATTATGCTCAGATAATAAATTTAAATGTAGTTTATACCATGCTACTGGCTTTACTTAAAATGACATTTCTGTATTTGGTATTCTGCCACTTGCATTGGAATTAGTTTTCAAAATGACCTTGGTAGACAAGAAAAAAGGCAGCACGTGCAACTCTTCTTTTAAGAAAGAGAGTGGGAAGGCTGCAGGTGGCAAGTATGGAAAGAGGTCTGGAGGGTGTTTTTGGTGAGGAGGAGGGAGGAGGGACGGTGTGTGCCAAGTTCACAGAGGCAAAATTTGACTGTTCATTCATCAGTCTGAAGTGATACACCTTTGCTGAAAGTACCTAAACTGTTGCTTTTTTTTTCCTGTATTACCATACTGTTTTGGAGACTGTCTAATAGACTGAATGTCCACAGTGCACTGTAATGCTCTTGCATGTCATACAACTTGCTGGGCAAAACCAACAAGGGGAAAGCATTGCATGATGCCTGCTGCATATTTGCATATGGCAGCAGTGTTCCATGTGATGATGATAGATGTTTACTGGAGTTTCACTTATTCCTTTTTTCCTGCATTATTCTCAAGTGACTCATTTGGTGGTGGAGTTGTGTTTTACAATTGATCTGACTGATGCCTTTTAGCTACTAAAAGGAAACCATGTTCCTCCCATGCTTTGGAAATTCAAAGCAGCATAAAAGCATTAATTTCTCATCTCTTGGAGAACTGGTGAGCTGTCACAGAGGTTAGTTAACTTCACCCCTCTGATGACATGCTTCCTTAAATAAAGAGTTTTCATCTATATGTGAAATTATCCTAAAGATTCATGCTTTAATAATGGTAGTAATTTTAGCATCTAATGCTCATGTAGTGTTTCCTGTTTATTCCTGTAGGATATTTAGCAAAAAGGTGTATATGTGTTAAACTTGCTAAGAGTATGAGATTTTGGATAGCAAAATTGAGTGTTGTGCAACAGCTGTAATTTTTGTCTTTGCTGGACGAGTTATCAGTTATGTTGTCAGCATGGAATACTGCTAGCAAGACTGAGCAGCAGTCAATTTAGTTGAAGTCCAAGCATTCTTTTCTGCCAGATGTAATTGTGGGCTTGATGTGTCTATTATGAAGGTTTTAGGGACTTGAAGATTCATTCAGTTTAGTCTTAAGTAGCTGTATATGGTTTGCCTTCTAAAATGCACATTTGCTTTTCTGAAACTGGAAAAACCAGCAATGATCAATACAAGCTAAAGATAACAATTATAATACTTAAAGAAGAGTGGTCAGGAAAAAGAATTTGGCAGTTAGTTTTGAACTGTAGTTTCAATTTAATTTATACTTGTTTTTAGTTGATAAATGCATGAGGATTTAGCTCATACATGCTCACTGTTTTAAAGCTTACAGCTTTACCTTGTTTCTCTGACAGTGGTTTATATTTAGGAAGATAGAGTACTGTTCTGAATGTCAAGTGTTGCTATTGTAGGCTCCTAGATGTGGTACACTGGCTTAATATTTCTGTGTGCAAAGTGGTATTTGCTGATTTTCACACATTTTAAAAAAACCTTCCATATGTCTGAAATAATGAACTTTAGCTTGTTACAGTGGATAAAGTTGCATGGTATGGTATGTAGAGTGTGTGTCACAGTGTAACTGTGGTCACTGTTAATAGATGAAATTATTGAGAGTTTGTTACTCTTTTGAGGAAACTCTAATTTGAGAATAGAGTGACCCTAGACTAGTTAAGCCGTAGTGGCTCCAAGGCTTCCTCAGTCCTTGTATGGGAAATTCTGCTTGCCCTTGTATGCATAAGATTCTTATATGATGTGTTTTTCTTCTTTACTTTCTGGAAAGAATATAATTTTAGATAAATCTTGACACTTGGAGGAGACTACTAGTCCTGTTTGTTGCATGTCTATGAATGCCTTAGGATGCAAACAGTTAAGTTACATTTTTATCTGTATATAAAAAGTGGTGAGAAGTGAGATTTGACCTACCCATTTTTTCCTAAACTGTCTTTTCAGCTAAATGTTGAACAGTGAATACCCAACCCCTATGGAAACTAATGAAATGTGTCACACTTAAATATGTTAGATTTTTATAATAGAATGTATATTTTTTTCAAGAGTAAAAGAATGTAGCTTTTGTTATAAGAATGGAATTGCCAGGGACTGACTGACTTGGCTTTGAAGTAGAAAATGTTGAAACTAGAAGTGGAAGTTTTCAAGCTTGTATGAAAATTGTTATTTTCTATTACATTGGAACTGTTTCAAAGTGGATGTGAACATGAACTCCTTTTTAATCTTTATTTATTAATGGCTGTTGTAGTGGTTAGGGGCCTTTTTTGTTTGGTTTTCAGTTTGGTTTTTTTAACCAACTGCATATGTCTTGATACTTATATATGAAGAAAGTTGTTTAATGCTGTATACTGCTGCTCAAATTTTAGTTTTTAACTGATAAAATGAAATAGACATAAGACATGGAGAAGGTAAAAAATATTATTTAAAACACTATCACAAATACATTCTAACCACGAGCCAAAAGAGTGCACTTTCTGTAATCTAGTAGATTGCTTGCAGTTTATGAAACGCTTGATGATCTGTATTTTATGGGACAGATACTTTCTCTGTTGTCTTTGAAAGAAAATGTTTTTCCATTTTTTAGTTACAAACCAATTTTAGAGGATGGTGGGAAAAGCTTCTGGTTATACTTAAATGATGTGTTTTATCACTTTTTAAAATATGAGTTGATTTAGTCAGTCATGAGAATCCAGAAACACTGTTTTACAAAGACATCTTTATTTAGCATGGTTGCAAAGATCCAGGTATTACAAACTTAAGCTGACCATTATTGTGCTTTGCAAAATCGTGCTTATTTATATTTTTAATTTTTAAAGCATCTTTTCAGTTAGCATCTGAAAAATGGATTTGTTTAGTTGTGCTTTAAAACTTTCTATGATTATGGTTCAGAAAAGTCTAGAATGATAAACATTTCCAAAAAAATCATGGAACTAATGGTGCTAGTTCTTGTTTGTTTGTTGGTTGTTCTTGGGTTTTGTTTATTTTTTTAATAGAAAGAGAGATGATGCAGCAAATCTCAGCTTTATGGAATATAGCAAATCGTAAATTTCATTAGTCTTACAAAATCAACGTATGTGTTTTCTCCTCAGCAGGGAAGTAAGTTGGAGAAAATTATAAGAAGTCATAAGAGAAACTTCTAAAACCAAGAAAGGCAGTTACATTGTGGTAGTGATTTTGTATCAGATGAAAAATAGTTTTTTGATCAGCTCATTATTATGTGCGGTCCAAAGTGGTGTGAACTAGATCAATTTGTGGAGCTGTTACAAGAACTTTGAGTCTTATATTTCTAGATTATAGATAAGCAATTAGTTGAAAAAAATTTCGCTGGTTTTCATATTTTGCAGATGCTCTCAAATTAATTCATGTAAGCTTTATCCCTGGATTCATCAATTTAGCAATAACAGAAGATCTGCTGATCAGATACGACCAATTTATTTCCCAGATGTTGATCCTCACAGTCTTCCTTCTGGTTCAAACTTCTCTATGACAGCAGGGGATTTTCAGGAAATTTATTCTGAGTGCAGTGAGTAAATGCAAACTTCTAGGCTATCCATGTAATTTCACATAGTTTCAGAGTATTTGGGACAGATAGATTATAAAGAGAATAGAAGTGTATCTACTAGTATTAAGTATAAAGAAATAGCTGTAGCAAGATTCTCTTACTCAGAATATTTCTCCAGCTGTATCAATAGGTCTACTTCTTACTCCAAATCAGCTTTTCTTTTCTTCCTAGTTACAGAAATGTGAACACTTCATTGTCTAATAGGTCTTGCAGGAGCCTTCCCCACAGCTGCTTATTTTTCTGAAGAGTCTGTCTTTAATGGTAGAATATCCAAGACTGGCATAAATTAAGACTTCTAATGCTTTTTATTTACAGAACATAAAACTTCGGCTATTTCAAGGATACTTGTTTAGAGAAAAACAGGGAGACTCAGTCTTTAAAAGGTGGACTTCAAAAATTCCTGCTTGTTGAACTGACTAGTTAAAAACAGCTGGGGAGATATTCAAATACTGAGTAAAATGTTTCAAAGCTACATTAGTTGTGAAATTACACTTAATTGTGCAGACTTGTATTGTTATAGATACTTACTAGGGAGGCCTAAAATGACTGGGGATTTTTGCTGTTGTATTATTAACAGTTGTCATAATGAAATTCATAGGACAGGTGAGTAACAGCACACTTGGGCCTTCATTTATATAAAATGTGTTAAAATTTTTACATTTTACAGTACATAATATATATAATTTTATGTAACTTATGAGCAGTTTCGCTAATGAACAAGTAAGTATATATAAAATTGTAGTGTGTATATATATACACACACATGAATACAGGTCAGATGAGCCCGAAGTTAACAGTTTTTAATGTAAATCTAAATGCTTTATTTACTTTGCTTGCAAATGAAATTATGAGCCTGCAGCTGCTGTTAGTTGAAGGTGATTTTGAGGGTATTGACAAATACCAGGATTAAATGATGAACTTCCGCAGGGTTAAAAGCATTGAAACTAATTTCTGTATACTTTGCTCTTTTTGTGCAGATACGTGGGACTGTGTAGCAACTTGCTTTTTCATAGATACAGCACATAATGTTATTGATTATATTGATACTATATGGAAAATACTAAAGCCTGGAGGAATATGGATAAATGTAGGCAAGTGTGACCAGCTGCTCTTTTTGACTTATTTTTGATGGTGTATTTGAAAAGTGTGTGTGAATAATTGTATCTATGCAGTAAACTGTACAGCTAGAAAAATAGAGGGTTTGGAAATGATCTCAGACATGTTCAAAATATGTTCAGATGTTCACTAGTTACAATCAAGTCAACACTGTGATTTTTAAATAGGTGAGTAAATCTTGCCAGTAGCAGGTTTTTGCATTCATGCATCAAACGTTTGGTTTTTTTGACAAATGTAGTATTCTGTGTTGTTTTTCGCTATTTTGCTAAGAAAATAGAACTTCAAAATACATCCTTGTTTTCTTGGTTTTTTTTCCAATGTCTGATTGATACTCTGTTATGAAGCAGAAGTTTCAGGAATGAGATTTGTTTGGACTCTTCCATGGTGAAGAAATGTTAGACAAGACACAGGCATTGAACACGCTTAGTAAAAATTGGTCAGTCACTGGTCAACTGGTCACTCTCCCAGTCCTAGCTAGTCAGAGTGCTAGCAGAGCTCCTAGGTAGACTTCTATATTCTGAGCTGTAGAGACAGCAAGTGATGATTAACTGAAGAAATTTTAAGACACAGAAAACAAAATCTGCTAGGAAATGTTGCAAATTGTTGGATAAGAACTAAAAGTTTCCATTTTGCATTGATTCTGAATTTCATTATAAGAATCACATTCAAGTAACATCAATATGTTCTTTTGTCAGTATTTATAGAATGGCTTGGATTGGAAGGGATCTTAATTATGATCTAGTTCCAATCCTTCTGCCCTGGGCAGGGAACCTTCCATATTTTTGAGTATGTGAATCTGAATATAAGTGTTTGTTTCATTGTCAGTATGTACTTTTGATTTTTAACACATACTTTGTCTTTTTGATAGCCATTTCTGTTGTATCTTTGTACTTTAGGTCCTCTCCTTTACCATTTTGAAAACTTGGGAAATGAGCTTTCCATAGAATTAAGCTATGAGGATATAAAGAATGTTATCCTGCAGTATGGATTCCATATAGAGGTAAGAAGATGCTGTCGTTTCCAGTCAGCAGTATTGTTATGAATCAGACAAACTGCTTTGAATAAATAACCCTAAATTTCATCCAATGTAACGGCATATATTAATGACCTCTCAGAGTATTATGTATCTTAAAAGTTATCTACTTTTCCAATTTTATAAGAAGTGTATAGATGAGCCTCATAATTAATAAACGTATAGCATTTTCTTGTATGGTTCCTGTACAAAGCTGTCTTGAAAACTGCTGCTTTGTTTTCAGGTGGAGAAAGAATCTGTGCTGTCAACTTACACTGTGAATGAGCTCTCCATGATGAAATACTACTATGAATGTGTGTTGTTTGTGGTGAGAAAACCAGAAAAGTAGTGGTCTGAATAGGTTAATGGGGAAATAAGGTTGGCTTGAAAACTAGAAATGAGAATAAAATAATCTGGTGATGTATGGACACAACCTCAAATCAGTGGTGCCTTCTTGTTCCTAAGAGGATATAGATAGTGTCTATTTTCTTAATATCTCTATTGCTATTCAGACATATACTATGCCATGCATATTCATAATAAACTTGTGAAAGATTAAATGTTCACATGCATTGTCTTTGTGCTTTGGAATGCATTAGATATAAAAGCAAAAGTGTTTTCTTGAGAATAAAATTTAATGTTTGCCATAACTAGATTAATTCTCTGCTAATGCTGCCTCATTTTTCATAGATTTATAGTGCTTTATTTTCTACTTGATGATAGTAGGAGTGCATGGAGATGCTTACCGTACTAGCTGTGTCACTTTTAGAGAAGTATTTGTAAATGTATATTTAAATTATGTAAGTCTGAAATGGTTGGGAAGTGGTAACATTATTCTTGAATGATAAAATTGTCATCAGAACTGTTAGAGCATTTTCTGTGGAACTGAAGTCAAAAAGGTTATTATTCAAGTTCTGATATTTGGCTGTACCACTGCAAAAGGTTTAATCAAAAAACAGAACCTATAGAAAATTTGAGATACTACAGGAAAGCAGGATACTGAGTGAAGAAAAAGCAGACTATCACAGAGAAGCGGTATGTTAACCTCAGTTCAGGAAAGCTCTGTTCTTGATTGATCTTAGTGTTGGAACCGAAATGTGTTAGATGCTTTGCCTTCTTGAAATCCACTGATTTTGAGTCATCTTCTTACTGTTTAAGCCAGAACTTTTAAAGTTGATAAACATAGCTGAGTTATCCATGCCATGTGTAGGTAGTACAACATAAAAATACCTATCGGAACAGTGAAGTTACATGTAAATATGTGCTATAAACTAATTACTTAAGCTGAGCCAGGATATGCAGGCCAAATGGTAGACAATTCCATTGTTACTTCAGACACTTTACTCTTGTGACTTCTTGATTCCTCCTACTGATGAGTTTTCTTTTTTTTCCTAATGGATGTGGCTTAGGTGAATATTTAATCAACAAGTCATGATACTATACAAGAGGCTGTCATGTCACATACAATCTCCTGTCACTTCGAAGATAAGTACATGAGAGAAACCTTAATTAGCCGGCGCTAGTGTGAGATAAGGTGTCATGTTAGATATTTTGTTTCCATACTGTGTTGATTAACTTCAGTGCCATTTGGACACATTTTCAAACATAAGTTTAAAATACAAAACCATTATGATGAGGGCTGAATTTTGTTTTCATATCTGGCTGTAAGGACACTGGTCAGTAGCTTGTTCGTTTCTGATTATTTTATGTCCTGTCTTTCATGGTCATGTCCTAATCACATCTCTTTAATAGAGCTGTTACTGGCTTTTCGATTTTTCTAATCAAGGCCAGAAATTTGTGCCTTTATTCCTAAACTGAAAATCTGCAAGGAGGGAAAACAAACTTTTTTTATTTTCAACACCATGTAAGAGAGCACATGCTTGTATATGTTTCATTGCTGTGCCCCTTTCTGCTCAGAATCCTGATTGAGAACAGAGACTTTTGGTCTACAGAAGTGTTTCAGTTTGGCTTAAACGACTGTTCTTTGAACTCCTTTATTTCTAAAAGTGCGCGAACTGAAGTTCTACCCTGTTCCAAGGCAGATGTGTGTAAAAATGAAACACTGCTATTCAAAAAATTATTTAAACAGAAGTCCTTGTGTGGCTGAAAGAAAAAAACAAAACCACATGCTTTAGTTTCCATATTGTACCATTTAATTTTTGAGGAAATTTGTGATTCTTTGCTTTCAATTTGCTTTTCTTCTCTTAGGTAGAATATGATTAGTAATTTACTTGATTTTCAAGCTTCTTGAAATAACACAGAGGTTAGGTGAAAATTAAGCTGATGACAAGTAGCATCTCTCTCTAATACTACCCACTTACTGCCCCATACAGTTTGTAACTTGAAATGTGTTGTTCTGTTTTTCAAAAATAAGCACAGGAGCTCTTTATTTATTTTTGAGTGTCAGTATCCTATGTTCTGGTGGTTTTATTCCTTGCCACAGGTGCCACGGGTCACAGGTGTTGTCACAGGTGCCATTTTTGTTTTCCTCTAAAAATGTTCTTGGATATGGTGTAATAAAGTGATGTGCTTTTATTTCTGATCTAGAAAATGCTGGTTTTTTTCCCCCAGAGCATTCTGCTTTTAAATTGCAGCAGTCACATTAAGAGCCAGAAGCAAAATAAGCTTGTGAAATGAGCTGTTAGTAGTGTTTTACCTGCAGTCCCAGTTATGAGTTCTTAGAATTCACCACTTGTACTGTAATGCGCAGGGATAATTGTGTATTACAGAATTTCATCATTGTTTTATTTAGTTTTATATGCGGGGGAAACGCCCAAGATGTTTGTCAGCTGTGACTGTTTATTTTAGGTCACTATTAAACTGTACGTGGTAACAGGTGTAAGATAAAATATTGCATACTTTTAAATGTAAAACTTCTTTATATGGAGTTTGATAAATGTAAAACGTCCCGTATTTTTTTTAATGTGTTATATTCTGAAACTGGTTGCGAAGATGGTAAGAGTGGGAAGTTTCATGTCTCCGTGAGCACTTCTCACAGTTCTCAGTGTGTGTAATGGACTGGGATTTTTAGATATTAAAGCTTGCCGTAAGAGTTGATGTCTCGCCTGTTTGTTTGGCTCCTCCCTTCATGGCCGGCTGAAGGGCTCGGCTTCCCGCCGTTCCTCCCGTCAGGCAGTGCGGCAGGCAGCCCCGCCCCCCCCGGCGCCGCCAAGCGTGGCGCTCATGCGCGCTGCAGG